AATCTGAACCGATTTTAAAGAAATTGTACACACATTGTTCTAGACTTAATTCAGTACACTATACCGAATTTCGTGCAAATCGAATGATATTTAGGGACTTTGGTGCACCATTTACATAAAATCGGTCGAAAATATATATGGGAGCTATATCTAAATCTGAACCGATTTTAAAGAAATTGTACATACATCGTTCTAGACTTAATTCAGTACACTATGCCGAATTTCGTGTAAATCGAAAGATATTTAGATACTTTGGTGGACGATTTACCTTAAATCGGACGAAAATATATATGGGAGCTATATCTAAATCTGAACCGATTTTCACGAAACTTAGCACACATCATTGTAAGCTTAATTTAGTACGCTGTGCCAAATTTCGTTAAAAACGAAAGCTGTTTAGGGACTTTGGTGCACAATTTACCTTAAATCGGACGAAAATATATATGGGAGCTCTATCTATATCTGAACCGATTTTTCCCTATTTCAATAGGGTTCAACCTAGGGCCTAATGAATGAGCTGTGCCATATTTCATCCAATTCGAATAATAAATGCGACCTGTACTTTGTTCACAATTTAACATGGACCGACAGACAGACGGTCATGCATAAATCGACTGAGAAAGTGATTCTATGCAAAGGAACCATGTCGACCATGCGACCTGTACTTTGTTCACAATTTAAAATGGACAGACAGACGGACGGACATGCATACATCGACTTCTCGTTTCCTTTTGCCTGTTACAGACATATGTACAAAGCCATAATACCCTGTACCACAGTGTGGTAAAGGGTATACAAATTTCTATATTTGTTTTATCAAATTCTCCAACCGATGTGGCTATAATTGAGCATCCCGCATAATTGGATAGCAAAAAACTGGTTTTCAGTCTGTAGCTTCATTGTCAAGCGATATGGCTCAGATCCTTTTCAATATAGGTACATATTTGGAAATACGGTTGCCGCCCAATTTTAGATAATTTGAAGCACTTTCCAACTGAACACTGTTATCAGGATTTTTATTTATAAAGAAGTTATTTGCAGAGTTATATCAATATTGGTTAATGTTTACATATTGGGTTCCATATTAGACTTCCGGACGATTTTAGATATTACGAATGCCCACCATGGTAACGGTTACAAAAAGTTTGGACCAACATTTTGATATTCAATGAGAAATTTAGTTGTCAGATTTAACATTTTCAACTTGTTACCTTCAATAATGTGGGTCTAATGATCATAGTTTGTCCAAATTTTGTTTAATAATTTGCTGGATTGCAAAATCGATGACGATATATACTTGCCCAAATATATACAATATTAGTATTTATATTATATAAAAGGAAACATGTATACAATTATGAAAATATAAATTAAATAAATAATCACATTTAGAGTAGTATTTTACAGATGACCTTCACATGTAGATATATGTAAATAGTTAGTAAATATACGATTTATTCTTTCATTATCCTCCGCAGCAAGCTACTTTGCTACAAAAAAAATGCGAAAAGCAGGGTTAGATAAATTTCCAAGAAAAATTTAATAAACGAATGTTTAACACACACAGGTTTTATTTAGGAGTTAATGTTGATCAAATGCGTCATTAAAATTTGCTTCAAATGAAATTTACTAGTTTATAAATCAGTGAGCGGAGCAGTATAGTCGGACAGGCTATGATACCCTATACAAATACCACAAAAATTTAACTTTCTGCGGTTCTATATTCTGAGCATGTTTCGCAATATTTGCACCCTCTTGACCGACTAGAGGTCAACAAATATCAATAATATTCAGTACAGAACTTCTAATTACTTGTCCTGATTCCCTTTACCGTTTGTTGTGTTGTGATGTTCGGCTTTCAACTGTGGCCTCTAGATCGATTCGGAAAAAAACCAAAAAAAGAAAGTTTTCGTTCAATTTCATCCCAATATTATTATCTGATCATCATCGAAATTATAGGCGTTGTCGTTGAAAATACCTGGATCCTCGTGGAAAATTTCCAAGCGATCAGCGCTTTATTTCCGCCTTTTAGTGTGGTAATGGGTTACTAAATAATGTAAATATTTAAGTGTAACTCCAACATCCTATGTACTCGGACAATAAAATTGGTATCAATTTAAAGATCAACCACTCCTCTTGGATATACTATCAACATCTCGGGTCTATGTCCTTCGGTGGTAAACATATACGCTATAGAATAAAAATTTTGTAATTTTTCACACAAAAGTCTGGGTCCATTTGAACAGCTAAATATTGACCGATCTTTATCAAAACCGGGCATGCTTATGCTGTGGCTCGATTCCCTTCTCAAAATTGGCGATGTTGGGGCCATAATTGCGGCCTCTGGAGCGACCAGAAAATCGGACAAACATTAAGTATTTGGTCCACTTCATCCCCTAAATATAAAATGATCTTTACCAGATCTTCATTGGCCAGAACCCATCCTACATGCAAAATTTCGTGAAGATAGGTCCATAACTGTGGCCTGTATCGTGTTTACAAATAATAACGGACGGACACACATGTCTAGATCGACTCAGCTTGTCGAAATATGACGATCGGTATACTTAAAGGTGAGTCTAGGACCAATATTTCGCGGCGTTACAAAATCTTGGGGCTGCACAAAGCTATAATACCCTGACAACATAGTTGTGTAGGGTAAAATATTGTTCCTTTGTGGGGCAGCTACTAGTAGGAGAGGACCGACGGGTCCCACTTTGGACTTTCTATATAAATTTGGTAAAGATAATAGGTTGTACATAGATTGATTCAAATCGTGCATTCCTTTCGCTCTATTGTTGAATTTCTATACATTGATGCTAGCCTTTGTGGGGGAGTAACCAGAAGGAGTGGACCAATTAGTCCCATATTCGGACTTGATCTAGGCTTAGTAAAGGTTGTAGGTGGTACAAGTTTGCTTCAAATCGGGCATTCCATTCGCCTAATTTATAAATATTGAGAATGTCGACCATTTGTGGGGGAAGTACCAGAAGGTGTGGGCCAAATGGTTCCATCTTCGGACTTAATCTAGACTTCGTAAAGATAAGATATTGATATTGGATTGAAAATTTCAGTATCCCAGTTTTTGTGAAAGTACGCGAAGGAGTGGACCAATGGGTCCCATCTTCGTATTTTTTCTGGGCTTAGTAAAGACAAAAGGTTGTTGAAATCGGACATTCAAATCGCCTGATATTGGATTTATAAATATTGAACATTTTTAACCTTTGTGGGGAGGTACAAAAAAATACTCTTATATTCCTCTACACTTTTATCACCAGGTCTTCTGTAGTTCATCCTAGGTCTATAATAAGCACTCTAGATATAATATGGAAGACCTTCTCTAGGTCAGTTTTAAAAGTAATAAATTCAACATGTCTTCTATAACCAAAATAAAATTAGGAGAAACAGACCTTGAATCAGACATTTAAATCAGTGAGCCCCGTAGCAAAGAGACATGTACAAACTGGCTCAGGTGAAACTCAAGTAATTCTTAAGAGTAACTCAAATATAACTTCCAAATCTTAAGTGATTATTTATACTATTTCGAGTCGAGCTTGATGATCTAAGTTTTGCAATGAAAAGCAAAGCCAGGAGAAGAATCTACGTACCCACCATTATGCGACGCGTTTGTGGCTATGTAGCTTTACAAAGGTCGTACGTTGATAACTTGTATTTATTCCGCCCTGATGCGAAACTTGCATATGCGAATTAAATTCAAATTTGTCAAAGTTGGACATTTGTCTTCATTATAGGAACAGTCCTTTTCACAGCAGATGTTTGTTGTAGCGATGGATAATTAATCCACACACCTACAATTTCTTCCATGGTGTACACATGTTTTTGCGCGTTTTGGAAGTGTGTTGATGGCTCAGAACGTTAAGTGGTCTGGCAACATTTGTGTTGCTCCGAGGACCTAGGTTCGGACCTAGGAATAAATACAAGTTATCAACGTACGACCTTTGTAAAGCCACATAGCCCAATATGCCTGATTAGCCGCTTAACCAACGGCGAAACGCGTCGCATAATGGTAGGTTCTTCTCCTGGCTTTCCTTTTCATTACAAAACTTAGATCATCAAGCTCGACGCGAAAGAGTATAAATAATCACTTAAAATTACTTTGAAATGATCACTGCCCCTTACAAGGCAAAATTCAAATAACAAAAAATAACTTCCAAATCCAGAACATTTATTTCTGATCCTGAGTTAAATTTTTATAAAAATATGCACATGTTACCACACAATTTGAAAAATAGCTTATTTTTCACTCAAAGTTGTATTATCAATATACAAGGTATTTTAAAAGTCACAACAACATTTCCTCATCGAAATGACGGCAATTTGTTGTGCACTACAACTCATATTGCAGTGATCTTAACCACATTATCCAATGATAGTTTATCACAATAAGTAGGCCATATAGGCGTATAATTATTGATATCACGTATACGCAACACGTTACTACCAACTCAAGGGAAAATAAAATACAAATTTCAATTTCATAGATTACTTACAATTCTAACCTGAAAAATAGTTATAACAATATATTTTAGAATAATATTCCCAAACATCATCGTGTAGCAAGAAAGAACGCCAAAACATGTAAATAACTTTGTAAAAACAAAAATTACCACCAACTCTTTTTCAATGCACACTCAAAATCAATAGATAATTAAAAAAAAAAAAAGAAACGTCAACTTTTTTGTAAAGCTAAACGAAAAAAAAACAAACTTAAATGTCACCTCTGCACAAAATGCCTCATGGCCAATTTCATAAGAAAAACGAAATGAAATTATTTGCACTTTAAAATTTCTGACTATTTGTAATGATGCAAATGTTTGGTGGGCAGTTGGTGGTCGAACATGATACACCGCGGATCGGCCACCATTGCTAAAGAATACTCGACTACCCATCAGACACTTGCATCCAAATACAAATGCACAAGAACCACAACAACAACAACAAGTATTGTATATTTTTCATATAAAATCTACAACGATCAGGTGCAACTGGATGAAGCAACCGATGCCTGGGGTATTAAAGTTGAACGTGTTGAAATGTAAGCGAAATTAAAAATTAAACCCAAATCATTTTTGGTAGAATTGTTGGTTTTGTTTAATTTGAATTTTTGTTCTTTTTTTACAATTATTGTTATCTTTTAATCCTTCCTCCAACAATCATAAAAATACCAAATAAAAAAAAACGAAATACGCACACACATCATCGTCCTCGTCATCATCATCATCGACATCATTAACCACAATACCACGACACCATCATCGACGTCATCAAATGGACAAACGACATGGCCTGACGTTGGCCACCACCAGTAAGGATGTACGATTGCCAGTACAATTGCAAAGGGCAATGGCCGCCGAGGCCGAGGCGGCCCGTGAGGCTAGAGCCAAAGTTATTGCAGCCGAAGGTGAACAAAAAGCATCGAAAGCGCTGAGGGAAGCATCAGAAGTGATTGGTGGTTCACCGGCAGCATTACAATTAAGATATCTACAGGTATGTATGCAATATAGTAACGAAGTGAAAGCAAAGGCAACAACAACTTAATCTGACATAGTTTACAACAACAACAACAAAAAGAAAACACTAGTAAAATGTTGGCTTTGATTTTGTGGTAAACGTTTAATTACAATTCCAGAATTGTGGGTTTCGCAATTAAAGTAAAATGTTTCACGAACGAGAAAATTACAGAAATCGCTGCGAAAAACTGCCACAGATTTCCATAGACAGAGGAAAAGTATAAAATACCTTTCACAGGTCTTCTATGGACAAGAAAATTCCTCTAATTCACCTATAACTATGGCATATCCTAGCACAGATTCTCAATTTTACAAACAGACCTCCTCTATAGAAAAAAAAACCTTCAAAAGAGCGTCAATGGATGGAAAATCCCACGAAGGGCGCTGACTTTCTATAGGTCATAGACCTTATTTTATAAATCGAAAATCATCGGCAATTTTTATATTCGGAGAAGTCCCTCTGCAGAAGACTTTTTCGAGGTGTTCTGTAGACAGACAGCTATCTTCAGGATTGCTATAGACAGAAGACCTTCGGCAGTTTCTCTATAGATAGAACACATTCTACATGACTTTATAGTTAGAAAACATTCCGGAGGTCTTCTGTATACAAATTGATTGTCTATATACGTAAGGGCCTCGATGTATATTTTATAGGAAGAAATTTTTCGGCAGGTTTCCTATTGTGGAATACTTTCCGAAGACGTTCTCAATGCAGGAGATCAACTGCATGTCTTTCAAAGCCAAGTCAAATATTCCTCGGGAGGTCTCCTTTACATGTGTTTTCCATAGACATAAGACCTTCTGCAGGCCCTTTATAGACAAAAGGCCCAAACGATTTCTATAGACCCTTATAAATAAAAGGAACATTATGATGGTCCTCTATAGACAGAAGATATTCTGCAGTTATTCTATAGGCTGAAGACCTTCCACAGACAGAACACTATTTTTGTATTCAAAAGAAGGTGCACAGTTCTGTATACAGTTTGATTGTCTATAGACTTAAGAACTTCGGCATATATTTTATAGGTCCAAAAATGTTCAAAATGTTTCCTATTGCAAAATACCTTCTGCAGAATTTCTTTATGCATGACTACTTCTACTTCCTACCATATCTTCTTCTTCCTACTGTACCACATCCAGACATGCTTTTGGCAAAAAAAAACTACTGCGCAAATATCTTCTATAGACAGAAAATCATTTGCCGATCTTCTACAGAAGGGAATTACTCTGAATGGCATTGTTCTGATCTTCGATAGACAGAAATTCTTCAGCAGTTATTCTACAGATAATAGACCTAGAGACAGAACAAAAGAAAAACTGAGGATGTATTTTGTATACAGATTTATTGTCTATAGGCTTTCGTCGGATAACCCTTCGACATGTTTCCTATTGCAAAATACAGACCTTCATTAAGCAGGACGTCATATATACAATATTGAGGATACATTCTACATGTCATCCATAGACCTGTTCTATTGGACCTTATCCAGACCTGCTCTTGACAGAAATCCTCCTGCTGTCCTCGTATAACTCAAAGATATTTTATAGGCACAAATATTTTTTCAGATTACCTAGATAGACAGCAGATCTGACTTCTGTGAACAGATGATACTCTCCAGGTCAAATGATACTCTTTGCCGGCAGAATACACTCTCTGTGACTTATATAGACCAAAAAAAATTTCTCAACTTTTTATATCCGAAAAACATTCTGTAAATCTTCCATATACCGAAGAAGAATGATTTATTCAGTTCTTCTACATACAAAATAATCTCTTCAGGACATATATAGACAGAAGAGTATCTTCTGGTCTCCTAGAGACAAACTATTTCTTGCATGTTTTCTATAGACAAACATCGCACTTCTATAAACATGACACCATCAGTAGGCGTTTACTAAAGAGAATAGGTCTTCCATAGAAAGAAGAGACCTTCAGCAGGTCTTCAACAAACGAAAGTCGTTTTCCAGGTCTTCCATAGATATAAGACCTTCTGCAATTCTCTTTAGGACAGAGGATCTTCAGTAGGTCTTCAATAAACAGATGACCTCCGTAGGATCTTCAATGGATAGAAAAAGGTTATGAAAATACTTTCTGTATGAGTAGTCTTTTCATCCGATAGTGACCAATACTCTGTACATCGTTTGTTAACATTCTATAGAAAAATTCCATTCTACTGATACTTAATATATGTGTACGTTCGGAAACACGTCATAAAAATGTTTGGATTCTTTTCATCAAAATGATTTGATTTTATCTATCAATGTTCAACACAAAAGCTTTCATAGATATTCTATAGATAGAAAATCTTCAGCAGATTTTCAGTGAACAGAACACCTCCAAATAATTTCAGGAGGTGTTCTGTAAACAGGAATGCTTACGAAGGTATTGATGTTCTGTGTAAATATTCTACAGAATGTCTAGAAATACGTTATGAAAAAATTTTCTATAGTCTATACCGTATGTACATTTTCGAAAGGTCTTCTCTAGCTAGAAAGAAAATCTTCCGCTGGTATTATGTAGACAGAAAATTTTTTACAGGACATCTAGAAATAGAAAACATACTCCTGGTCTTCTTTTGAGGACTATATCCAAGTCTTCTATCAAAAGAATAAAATCTGAGGGCTTAAATGCAATTTTTAATGTCTTGGACTTCGATACCAAGACTTTCTATAGTCTATACCGTATGTCCATTTTCGAAAGGTCTTCTCTAGCCAGAAATAAAATCGTCCGCTGGTATTATGTAAACAGAACATTTTTACAGTACATCTATAAATAGAAAAAAAAACTCCTGGTCTTCTTTTGAGGACTATGTCCAAGTCTTCTATAAAAAGAATAAAATCTCAGGGCTTTAAATAAATCCTTAATGTCTTGGACTTCGATACCAAGACTTTCTATAGTCTATACCGTATGTCCATTTTCGAAAGGTTTTCTCTAGCCATAAATAAAATCTTCCGCTGGTATTATGTAGACAGAAGATTTTTTACCGGACATCTGTAAATAGAAAACATACTCCTGGTCTTCTTTTGCGAACTATCTCCAAGTCTTCTATAAAAAGAATAAAATCTCAGGACTTAAATGAAATTCATAATGTCTTGGACTTCGATACCAAATTTATTTTTGAACTCTACTTCGATTCTAACATCGATAGAAAAAAATAAAAATTTGGCGGTTGGCAATGTTAATCATTTAATTTGTTCCAAGTAGATTTGTTTACATCAATTTTTGAATATGATATCTCTCAAATGGCGGCCTCTGGCGTTCATTGATTGTGCCCTTTTTGCTACATTTTCCATCGTTTTTGCCAACATTTCGACCGGAGTAGCGGCTATTTCTTCACGAATGTTGTCCTTGAGCTCTTCTACGATCCTTGGCTTGTTAACGTAAAACTTTTACTTCAAATATCCCCACAAGAAGAAGTCAGGCGGCGTCAAATCGGGCGAACGCGGTGGCCAGTCCAAATCACCACTTTCGACATCAAACGGCCCGGAAACAAATTCTTCAGAAAATCGATTATTATGCGACTTGTGTGCGGTGGAGCGCCGTCTTGTTGAAACCAGAACTGCCTCATACGCTTTCGACGAATAATTGGCATCACAAAATTGGTCTTCGTGTCGCGATAACGCTCCTGATTGATGGTAACAGCATGGCCATTTTCATTTTGGAAGAAAAACGGCCCAATGACCGTTTTCGCACTAACGCCGCACCAAACTGTGACTTTTTCGTCATGAAGAGGCACTTCTTGAATCTCCTGAGGATTTTCAGTGGTGTAAAAACGACAATTTTGCTTGTTTACGGTCCCATTCAATGTGAAATGGGCTTCATCGGACATGATAATTTTGTTCCAAAATTGCTCGTCATCTTCGGCCATTTCGATGACTCTTTGGGCCCATTCCAATCGACGAGGCTTGTCCGCAGGCAACATTCTTTGCGTCAATTGAATTTTGTACGGGAACAAATGCAAATCAATGCGAATAATCCGTTGTAAAGTGGACCGAGCCATGCCCAACTGCTGAGAACGGCGTTTTTGTGATGTTCTTGGGGACCTCTCAACACTGGCTCGTACGGCAGCGATATTCTCGGCCGATCGCCTTGGTCGACATTTATATGGCCTCTTCGGATTAGAAAGAGCCTTACCAGTCGAAAATTCTTCGTATAAAAGCTTAATGGTGTTCTTAGAAGGCGCACTTCTCACATTTTTTTAATGTTGAACACGTTGAGTTTTCACAATTGACTTCTTCTGTTGAATGTAAATTTCAATTATTTCAGAGCGTGGCGTGTATTGGTTCATGGTAAAAATCAGCTTGGACTGACGCTTCAAACGCGGTATTTAAGCGATGTGACATCTCTGTCAAAAGTTATGGCGAATATGGGCAACCCTGTATTCTGTTGAAAATAATATCTCATTTACCTCTTCTCCAGACAGAAGATCTCCTGCTGGTCAATATATAAAAAGGTCTCCTTCTGAGTTATAATACCTTAATAAAGTCAAAATAATACCCTGTACCACAGTGTGGTGAAGGGTATAAATACATTTTCCAACACTTACAACTTTCTTCGGTTCCGTTGTAGATGTAGTCAAAATGAACCCATGCCTTCTATAGGTATTGGAAAGCCTTTCATGCCTTCTTTAGAAGGGAAACAATCATTTGCTCTTCTATAAGTAAATGAAACGTTCTCTAAGTCTTTGAGTACCTTCGCTCTTTAATAGGCTGACGATTTTCTCCTGCATTTAATTTTTTCTGGACTAATTCGTTAGGCTTATACGGATTTTCTATAGATATAATACCGTTTATAAGTATTCATTATATTATCCAGCCCCCTTCGTATAACCCTTACTAGTGATGAAAAATATTGAAGATTTGTTTATATACTCTCCACTTCATTGCTATACTAAATTCTATGAGTTTTATAATTTCAGATATTGAAAAATATCCGAATGCTGGCAACATGACGACCGGAAAATAATAAATGAATTAAAAAAATTTTCATAAATACTTTTTTGTTTGTTTTTGTTATTAAATATGCAAATATCTTATTACAGACCCTAAGCACAATATCGGCGGAGAAAAACTCAACGATTGTATTTCCATTACCCATCGATTTAATAACATATTTCTTGAAGACAAACGATGAGAATACCAAGCAGAATGCCAAAGCTGCAGCGGCAGCCATTGCACGGTCGACGGTGGAGGCCATAGCACAGCAACAGCAATCGACAGCTATGTAAAGGCAGAACAAACAACTAACACTTAGCAATGCTCGAGGATATGCAGTCTTAAGGGGTCGCTGGTGTGCTCCCATAAAGTAAAATGGAAAAGTTGTAAAGTAACAAATTTTACTAACTATAAAAAAACAAAACAAAAACAGGAAACGGAAATTATCAGCAGAAAAAAATGAAAACTGAAACTGAAAACTTTATGAACAAAATATTACCTGTGGGTGGAACGATGAGCAACCATAAAAACGATGAACAAAACAAAAAAAAACAATTTTCTAACTGTGAATATGTGTTTACTTTATCTACTTGCAACAAAACCAACAAATAACCAAAACAAAAAAACAAAGCAGCAGAAATCTTTCCTCTCCTCCCAAATGTACTCTTAGGAGTAGATTTCCCTCCTCATACATACAACACAACAATTTGATATCTCTGCAAAACAAAAATTGTAATTCATTGGTTTTCTTAAAGCAAAAAACAAAAACCGAACAACAACAACAGTGGTACATATATAACTTGTCGTCTTTAGATTATAGCAACTAAATTAGAATAACAAAACTTGTATTAACTAACAACAAAAACAAATACATATTTACTACCAAATACATAAATACACAGTGTGTATGTGTGTGTACGTTTTTAGGGATGCATCAACAGACAACCAACCATTCCATACCGTAAAAAAGAACCGACAACCACAATCCTTTGAAATCCGCAAATGTGGATTTTAGGTTGAAAACTGTTCAAGGCAAAATTTTTGCTAATAGAGTATGGCTCAGAGTTTGTGTTTAGAAACTTTTTTTTTATTATAAAGTATATTTAAAAAACATATGTATTATTATTTTTGAATTGAAACCACGATGATGATTCTACAGGAGTTTACGGGCGGCAGACACAAGTAGAAGACCTTCAATATGTTGGAGAGCCCTTCGATGAACAATGAATGTACCATATATAGATATTTAATAAAAAGAGGAAACGGAAATTATCAGCAGAACAACCAAGGTAGTTTCTGACTTCCACGAATCGCCCTTGTGACCCTATATTGTCTAGAGCCACAAAAATGTTGGGAATGACCTAAATAAGATCCCAATAAAAAATAATTAAAAATCTTAACTCATTCGAAAGCTATAACGAAATTACTATGATTGTTTTAGATAGATTCTAATTTAAATATTCATTTTAATATATATTCCTTTAATGTATATATAATTTTGAGTTCCTACATCTAGATCAGATCTGTATAGAATAATTTAAAACAAAAAAAAACCGTTATCAGTTCTCTGCACTTCCTAAATACAATCTCAATATGATCGAAAATTATAGGCGTCGTCCTTGACCATAACCGGAACATAACTGTAAAATTTTAAAACTATCAGCGCGATATTTGGGTAATAGTAATTCTAAAGGTCAACCACTCCTCTTGGATATACTACCATCTTTTCATATCTATATCCTTTAGAAGTAATACAAATTTTGTAATTTTGTCACACAAAAATCTGAGTTCATTAGACCAGCTAGATATTGTACTATCTTCATCAAACCTGTCGTGTTTATTTTATAGTCAAACCCCTCTCAATGTGTACAATGTAGCGATGTTCGGGTCATAATTGTGGCTTCTAGAGCGTTCAGACAAAACAGACAAAAATAAAGCGATCTTGTTTAAGGGGACCCCCCATTCTCGGTGTCATTTTTTTTTTTTTTATTTAATTCGAATCTACTCTAATTCTAGAATGTCCCTCAAGTGACGACAAGAATGATTTTTAACCTTCAAACGCATTTTTCTCGAAGCAGTGTTTTACGAATGGCGGGCACGATAACTCAAAAACTAATGATCCAATCGGTTCTAAATTTTGACACGTTTCTCTGGGCGATTTTCAAAAATTTTCATTTTGTTAATTATTGTGCGAAGTTAATAATCCTAGTTCATACGAGAGCCAGAAATGTACTCTTTATAACACCGTTAGAATTTTCGGATTCCGATGTTCCAGTGAGGAGTTATCATGCCCGCCATCAAAAAAAAAAAGACTTTGATCACAAAAAAAAAACATTTTTTTGTAAATTATTTTTCTTCCTTCTTAAATCTTCAAATATATATGTGCAATTTTACAAACCTTAACAAGCATTGGAATTTATTTACCAGCCCATTTAAAATCTTAAAAATAAACCAGTGAGCGGAGCAGTATAGTCGGACGGGGTCGACCATATGATACCCTACACAACTACCACGAAAAGTAAACTTTCTGCGGTTCTATATTCTGAAAAAAAAAACAATTATTTATTAGTGGGAAATGTATGGCATTGTCCACCGAGGGGTAAGGCAGGGAAGACTATAGTTTCGGATCTCGCCACTGATCCTCATCAATTACCTTAGTTTTTTGTTGGGATATTCTCCCCAGAAGCTATTAATAGCTTCTTTACAAAAAACCTTTCATAGCCAAATGTCTCTTGTGACAATTCGAAGTTCTTACGTTACCAGCGATACGCCCCAATGAGAAGTTCGTTTCGTTGGCGCCTGACTTCGTGGTCAACAAGGCATTTACAGACAACTACAATACATTTCCCACTGCTATGTGTCGTCACTTTGTGACGAATGCACATAACGTTGTTGTTGGTATTGCTTGTTAAAGCAATAAACCAAACAGTATGACCGTGCCTCGTCTACAACTTCAGTAGTGTTTGGCAGGTACATTGCACCCCCTGAATGAAATCTCAACTTTACCTCAAAATATAGGCGTCGTCCTTGACCATAATCGGAACTTCATGTACAATTTCAAAGCGATCAGAGCGACATTTCCGTTATCTAATTGTGTAATATTAATACTATGCACATAGTCACCTTGACCTAATTACGTATAACTCCCACTCTGACATACAACCATATAATTGGTATCAATTTAAAGGTCAACAACTCCTCTCGGATATACTTTTCAGGTATATGTCCTTCAGAAGGAAGTATATACGCCTCAGAATAAAAATTTCGTAATTTTTCACACAGAAGTCTGGGTCCATTTGACCCGCTAAATACCGATGACCGATCTTTATCAAAACAGCCATTCTTATTCTTTTGTCCCACCCCCTTCTCCATGTAAAATTTCACGATGTTCGGATCATAACTGCGGCCTCTGGAGAGCCCAGAAAAACCGACAACAATTAAGTAATTGGTCCATTTCATCCCCTAAATATTATCCGATCTTTACCAAAAACAAAAAGGGTCTTCATTGACCAGAACCCATCCTACATGTATCGTGTTTACAAATTATAATGGACAGACGGACGGACGGACACACATGTCTAGATCGACTCAGCAAGTCGAGATATGACCATTGGTATACTTAAAGGTGGGTCTAGGACCAATATTTCGCGGCGTTACAAACTTTTGGGGCTGCACAAAGCTATAATACCCTGACAACATAGTTGTGTAGGGTATACAAATCAAGAAATGGGGCAAAATTTCGTGACGATTGGCCTGTACCGTGTTTACAAATTATAATGACGATCGGTATACTTAAAGACGGGTCTAGGAACAATATTTCGCGGCGGTTAAAAACCCTTGGAGCTGCATAAAACTATTATACAAACTTATAAAAATGTACAAATGTACCCGGTTATACCTTCAGAGAATATACCATTAATCTGGATTCTGTTCATTCTATGGTTTTCTCCGCAGAAAATCTCTTTAAGCTGTTTTTCTGTGGACAGGAGTCCTTCCTAAGGTTCTGATCTTCTGTGTATAGTAGATTTCCTCTAGACATTAAGTTATCAATAAATGTTCTACTGAAGACTTAGTTGCTGTAGAATAATCTTCTTCAATAGTGCACATAATCATCTTCCTAAATCTTCTTCTTCATCTTCCTTCTTCTTAAGACCAGGAAGGAAGTGAGACCGCTCTATAGAATATATTTTTTAATTACCTAAATTAGTTTTCAATTAACTCTGAGCTATATATATGTGTGTTAATACATAAAAAACACATGTACATCCCCATTTTTTATAAAAAAAAATCAGTGATCTGAAATGAGGACGATATTAAAATAAATCAAATAAAAACAAACACACAAAACAAATATTTATATTACAATTTATTATCTAGATATTTGTATATGTCAATGTAGTTGTTATATAAATATTAAAAATAAAAAAAAAAACAAATACAAATTCAATTACAAAGCAAAGAAAAAAAAAACACAACTTATTATAAAACACAAAAAAGACACTTTTAGATATTCAAAATATGAAATGAAATTGCATTAATCAAAAGAATGTTAATGACATAATATTTTTTTTATTTTTTAAATAATATTATATTTAATATGTTTCAATAATATTTTAAATGTTTAACAATATTTTTAAAAAGTCGTTAAAAAAATCCTCAACATTATTTTGATGCATAAAAAAGAATTTTGTATAGATCGAATGTTTTTCAATTATTTTGTTACAAATTAGAAATATTCAATTTCAATTATTTGTTAAATCTATTAGAATAATTCAATTTCCAATTAGTTACTATTTTGTTTTCACAAAATCTCAAATCAAGCCAACAAAACACTCAACTCTACAATTTCGACTTCCATACTTCCTTCTAAAATCTACTACGAATTTATGAATAGAAATTGAAGATAATCTCCCAGTATTTTTCCCCCCTTAACATATATATATTAAAAATAAAATATTATTGTTTTGTTTTTTGCTCAAATTCAATATATCAAAAAAAAAAAAAATAATAAAATAAAAAAAACTACAAACAAAAATAAACTAATATTCAATCAAAAACAAAGAACAAACAAACCAACAAAAACCATAACTTAACAACAATACATTTATGATAATAACATCAAAACTATTTCACCGATAGAAATAAATTACAAAAACAAAACATACAACATTATTATTAATAATAATAAAATGAATAACGTTATTATAAATAATTAAAATAAATAGAAAAACATTCAAAAAAATTCGATATACAAACATGTATTTATAGGTTAGATCAGAACTCTTTTCATGAC